ACACAACTCGCAAGTTGAGCATAAAAAACCGAAAACAAAACTTACGGCGACGATAAATCACACAGATACTTGCAACCCACTTTTCAAAAAAGTTAAAAGAGTCACTCGGCAGTACGCTATTAAGAGGGGCCACCCAAATTTTCTCCAATTCATGACGAGTCTATCCGAATGTCATACGGCATGCTGGCCTACCGATAACAGGAAACTAAAAGAAACTGCTTGTAAGCTAATTCTGACTTGCTGAAAACCCACAACTTTTGCGAGTAAACTCCACTATGAAGTTCAATTTCTGCATCTGAACATTCCCGAGAATGAAAGTGTAGAATTTACTAGGAACGATATTTTGAATGAACCCGACCAAATAGCCCTAGAACACTCTACACAGTGCTGACGAACTCTGTAAAATGAAATAAAACCAACCATAGGTTTGCTTTGGTTCGCTGGAGCTGCAGAATTCGCTGCTTCGGTTTCCGCCGTGGTCCGCATCCTCTTACTAGGCAGTTTCTCTGCCGCACTGATATCAACATTTTTTCCATCAAGCTCATCAGCAAAACTGACAGTTCTTTTTCTCGTCTGCAGTTCAGTTGCTGACTTCTCCCGTTCTCCGCTTTCCCTCTTAAAATTCGCCTCATTCCGTCGTTTCACTGTTTCCACTATTTCTTCTTTTGGCAGTTCTGCAGCAACCTCGCCAGTGTGTTCCTCTTGACTGGAACTTTCGTCTTGCGATACAGGCAATAACTGCTGTTCTCTTTTCGCCTTAAATTTAAGAATTTGTTAACGAACGTCCGCTTCACATGCCCAAAGCCCAATTTTTGCTAAGGTGAACTGACAAAGCACAGGTCGATTAGTGAGAATTGGCCTCTGTAGATGGTTAATCAAAATTTTAGGCATTCATTCCTCCATGCGCAACACCCTGGTTCGATAGTAATTCCTCAAGCTATGTTCTGAATAGTCAAAAGCAGTTGCGAACATCAGAAAAACCTATAAACAGAAAAGTACTTCAGAATACTCAATGATATAGCGTTTAATCAGAAAGTGCCTTTCCGTTAGAACTTTAAAAAAATGGCACCTGCAGTTTTTCATTAATTGTTAAAATTTGATTGTGTTCCTCTCCACGATGGGTCAATAACGTCAAACAAACTGCATATGTTAACACACACAAGACTTCAGCCTCCGGCCTCTTCCAATCTCCTTGCCAGGAATATCCACTATTTGTATCTTTAAAATTTCTACCTCACTTAAGATATACAGAGAAATGCAAGACTAATGCGAGCACAGAGGTATGGGCGCTACTGTAATGTATTTGTAGAAGCAATACAGAACCTTACAAACCTCTGACTTTTCAGAATCCTGCTTTAGTTCCAGCGATCTGTTGAAACGTTCAATGATACATTCGTTTGCCACACCACACTCATCGTCGTGGCAAGAACAAATAAGCTTTGTTTTTGACATCACATAATCACCATCAAATGGTACAGTTAACTAAACAAGAACACATTTGAAATCGCTCTCTTAACAGCCGGTTTCAGCCGAAAAATTTCGAAAATATCATTAAAATGGTTAGA